TCTCCATTGACGTCGTAGGATTCCTCATTTGTGTCGTCCTCGTAGTTAGGATTATTTTGTGTGTCTCTTTCTCTTGGATCGTTTCCTCATTTAGCGTGTATACTTCCTTTCGATCGTTATTAGTCGTTTCCTTATTTTCTGCATTGACCTATCTATTGTCGAGCTTAAGTATAGGATTTCTTACATTATCACTATTTCATATTTTATATATTTTATTTATATACTGTATTGAATCATTATTTTATTTGTGATATTCCATGACAGTAGTGCTCATGATCAGTTACATTTATTATTGTTGTGATCGAGGACCGTTAGTAGTTCATGACCTTAGTGGCCTTGTACAAGACCTAGAGACATGTGTATGTTAACTTAGAAAAACAAGAAGAGTTGGGGTGGAAAAGTCTTGGTTCATGTGATCGGATATGGCTATTGATGTATCTTCCAGGCTCGCACCAGTGAATTCGTGTAATCATTAGGGTTGGTTTGTTAGGCTAAAGTGAATTCGTATAGTCACTTTGGTCAGTGAATTTGTATAGTCACCCGAGTTTTGATTGAGTTCGGACCAGGCCGAAATCGGATTGCGTGTAGTCATCTGACCGATTTGTGTAGCGGTATTGGATGCGTGTAGAAGATTTATGAACAATCAGTTATCTGATAACATGAACGTTGACTCTATGTGAGATATGGACTAGTAACCTATTAAAGGATTGTTAGTTACATGGCCTCGTTACTTAGATGATTATGGATTCTTGTGAGATGTGGACTAGTTATATTTCTTTTCATACATAGATTGTGATTAATATTTAATTATCTATAACTAGAGACATATGGTATATACATAAGGGTTTCTTTGTTTGTATTTTTCGCTCGACATACTACGTCTCATGTTGTAGATTTTTAAATATTAATTCCATCTAGTTGTATGACCTTGTTACTCGGATGTTTATGGATTCTTCTGATTGTTATACTCTAGTGGTGGATTGCATCTAGCTTGTTAGTATTCCGGCTGCATGTTTTTATTTATTATTATTGTTATTACATTGGTCGTTTGACTGTTTCTATTCTTCCTTTTAGGATCTTGTCGTGTACCATGCACGCTGACGTACTCTTGTTCTCTCAGCAGGAACCAAAGCATTCTCAGTAGGAGTGCTTTGCAGACTGAGCAAAAGAAGAAGCCGAAGCTTAGTTATTTCCTTTAGTTGCTCAATGGTTCTTGTTTACCTTTGTAGCACCTTTCATTTTCGCTTGATTGATGTATTTTTATGTTCCTCTAGTATTTTAGTTGGACGGTTTTGTAATAAGGGCATGTTGATCCGAATATTATGTCTGGGATGATGTTTTATTTGTGATATGTATCATTTTGTTCTGAGTTGTTTATTTTTTTCTTGCTACTGTGATCGGGGACCTGTGCCTTCGCTTATATTGCTTGGCGCTTAGCGTATTAGATTGAATAGAAGGTCTAGTACTTATTACTCCTCAGTCTAATACGTGGCAAGCTTGTTCGCATCCCGATTCCTGGGTATTTTGGGAAGCGGGGTGTGACAATTACACATAAGTTCTAAAGGACACGTCAACAAATTAATAGACTAATCAGGATAGTAGACCATGTGAATATCTTGCGCAACCAAATATTTGGTCTTTTGCTGTCTCCTTAGCACGCCAAACTTTAGAATAATTAACTTTTAAACCATACTGAAAGTGTAATTCCTTTCTAATCTCGGTTGGGGTGATATATAGACACCTCTTCACAATTGATTGTAGCATACTCACAATCCACCTTCTCGATACTTTATAGTGATCAGTTGTGCTGTTATGTTGTCCAAAAGTATGTTTATAAACAATTTATTTATAGCAAAGATCGATACATGGCTTAATAGTGAAGTGTAAAGCAACCACTGACATTTTGTTTCTTTTTTGAACATGTAATTAGCACAAATGCGTTTTGGCTCATTGTTAACATATTTAAAAGAGAACTTCTTAGCTATAGAATAGTATATAAAAGCCATTCTAATTTCTTTTATACTTTCAAAGTGTTGCCCTTCTCTTGCCTCGTGCCATCATGCCAGGATTCCTGTCAAGTCACTTACTATGTCATCCATCATCCATACATGCTCTCCTTGAGGATTATCATTTGGTATCCTCTCAGATTCCTGGATAAGCTCCGATGACTGTGAATTTATAGTAGGAAGACTACAAGTTAAATATAACAAATGATACATATAAGTCACGTGTAACAAATAAAAGCAAGTATTAACTTGTATGTGTCACAAATAACATCGAAATGTCGCGTGCTATTTCTACATGTCACATATAATATGTAAACATCATAGTTCTCATTATAAACATGTATACAGAACCTGAAAGGAATCTTTTGAGTACTTACTTAACTTTGTTTTTGTCCCTATGGTATGCGTGGATCCTTCATCTCTTTTAGTAACAATCATAGTTATCGTATTTAACCCCATTGAATGATGATAATCTATCATGTTGAAAATACCTTCATCTTTTAAAAGCTCAAACAAGATATTGGGAAACTTTTCGAGTGAGTAACTTATCAACAAACTTTCATATGTAGTATTGAATTCTTTGCAGAGTGCATCTTAAATTCAGTTAACCTCGTCATAGAATTGACTTTAATGAGAGTTGCATTAGTGTTTAATGAAAACACACATATTAAACATTTTTCCATTTTGATTGTTGGAGAAGTTAAGAGGAAAAAGTAAAAAGAACATTTTGTTTATTGAAGATTTTAGGAGTAGAATCTAAGGAGTGAAGAAAATATTTGACATTATTTGGAGGGAACTTATTATGTTTCCCTCTAATTTTTCCTTTTCCTCCTAAAAATCTTTCACATGAATTAATGTAAGTCTTCTCTCTTCTCGTGAACCCATTACTATTCACTTCTTACTGTATAATCTAAAGAGGGACTGCCCAATAAGACAAAAAATATTTTATAATCCACAAAAATGATACAAAAGGGTAAGCTGGACATTTATACAAAATATAATATATATACTATATACTTTTTTGGGCTAGGGGTGTTTTAGCATGGATACTTAGGTCAAAGCGCTTAAATGGATTTGACTTTAGTTGGGGGTGTAAAATGCTTAACTTTTTACAAATTGCTTGCTTCAAGAAATTTTCCCTTAATTTAATACATAACAGTTGTCATTTTTCACATTTCATGACATTCAAATTGGCCTTTGACCGTTCATTTATTTATTTATAGTAACAATAATTAAAAAAAGAGTTATTTTAGATACTAGTTCCTTATAGTAATCCGTCAAATCTTGAAGCTGGCATATTAGTCCCTCAAATGCTATACAGTGTTGGAAATGATCCTTTTGTCAGTATTTAAGTTAAAAAAACCTAATGATTAGGTTAACTCCATACCATCATCTGCAATCCCTAAACTATCACCTTCTCCGATTTTTCGATCGTATGCTCAACTTTGGGTTAGCATTTCTTACTATTAGAAGAGGAGAATTCAAGTGGGTTTTTTAAGCGTGTATTGGGAACATAATAGAGAGGTAAAACAATCACTTTACCTTCACCCGTTAGATTTGACAAAATATTCCCTTCAAATCTTATCTGATTAAACTTCAGAGACCACTTTGCAACCTCTAGAATTTGCGAGACTAATATGCAATTTCCATGATATGAGGGACTATGATTGCTCTAAGGGCTTGTTTGTTTCGTTTCCCTCAGAATCCAAAACCCACTTTCCTTTACTTTTTTACTTTCCCTCACTTTCCAAAACTCACTTTTCTTCACTTTCTCCACTTTCCTCTAATAATATTGTGACAACTCATCCCACCACATCTTATTTCATACTTTTAAAAATAAACAAAACACAAGAAATGAGTCACATCAATCAACTCATCTAACTCACTTTCCCCCACTTTTCTTTATTTTCTATCATCTTTAAAAATTACTCACATCATCCAATAATATGGTGACGACTCATCACATCTCATTAAAATTTCCTTCCATCACTTTCCTCCAAAAAAACAAGGATAGTGGAGGAAAACTCTTCTCATCTCATCATCCAATAATATGGTGACAACTCATCTCATCTCATCTCATCTTATCTTTTTTTCCCCAACTTTTAAGAATGAACCAAACACAAGAAAAAAAATCTAAACAAGGAAAGTGGAGGAAACAACTTTTAAGAATGAACCAAACACAAGAAAAAAAATCTAAACAAGGAAAGTGGAGGAAAACATCAAAAATTACTCACATCAACCAATAATATAGTGACAGCTCATACTTTCCCCCACTTTCTTTTATAGCTTTGACGAACTAAACCTCTGAAAGTGGAGGAAAACGTCAAAAATTATTTTCTTTTCCCCAACTTTCCTCCACTTTTTGTATTTTTTTGCGAAACAAAAAGGCCCTAAGTGCATGTTTGACAACCTCCAAATATGGGGTTAGGTTTGAATCTGGACCTCTTCTGAGAGAAATTTTATTTGAATAAAACTGGATCAAAACTAACTCAATTTTACTTTTAGATCAAAAGACCCCTATTAAACCGATTCATTTTTGATCCAAACCGCCGTGAATAAAAAAAAGGACAGGTTCATGACAGTTTTAAAGGATTTCGCTCTCATCAACTCCCATCTAATAAAAACCCGAAATTAAAAACGCACCATTTTTGGCAGTAATCGCTCTCGAATCCGCTCACTCGTCCGCCATTCCCCCATTTTCCGCCGGTGCGCTTATCCTCCATTTCTTCTCCATGGATCCCCGACGCTTCCCGCCCTCGTTGCAGCGCCTCTGGGCTGATGAAGTCCTCTTCCTCCACTCTCTCTGGCGCCAAGGCCCTCCTCAAAACCCTAACCCTAACCCTAGCCCTATTCCTAACCCTAACCCTAACCCTAGCCCTATTCCTAACCCTAACCCTAAACAGCGGCCCGTCAAGAGGAGGAGAAGGAAGAGCAAGGACCAGGCTCAGCCGTTAAACCCTCCGGCGTCGGAGATCGAGTGGCC